GTCAAGACAGTAGGGAACGTTTGACCAAACAGATCAATCACTAACTTCTCTTTTCATTTTCATTCTTTTTAAAATGGTTTAAGGCATTAATTAGAGTACTACCCTCGTGGAAACGATAATCTGGGCACCAATAGTCCCATTTATTACTTGATACGTGCACTTGCGCACTTGGGTTAAAATCAAGAGAACCGAAGTGTTTTCCCTTGATGAACTAAAGTGAAGGAACATCCTTCATCATAATATTTTAAGCAACCAATAAGTTCACAAACCACCCAACAACCATCTCAGACAAACCTTCCTCATCTTGTAGTGACTCTTCATATTCTAGTGGCTTTTTTGATTCAGGTATCCCCGTTCTGTCCTTCTGATTAAATTCTTTTATTGTTTTAAGTATTTATGGCATCATCTCCATCAGAGATTGTAGAGGATTCTCATTCTGCTGAGTCGGATTCCGAGTCTGCTCCCGCCGCCTTAGTTTCCCAGTTTCCCTGGGTGACATACGAAGTCCTAAACACAACGTTTGAAATGAATACGGACGATGTATTTGGGCTTCCCGTTGGGAGGCTAGAAAACTATGACATATCTCCCCCACACGGAGATGAACCGGACTGCTCGGAGGAAGCTCAGATGAGCCGTGCTTCTTTTTCTTCTACCGGGATGTTATGACTCAACTCAGCATCAAGTTTTCTTTTATCGAGTTCCAGATTGACGTCTTGAATCATCTTCACATAGCTCCTAGTCAACTTCATCCCAATGCTTGGAGTTTTGTTAAGGCGCTCGAGCATTTTTGTGCATATCTCACTCTTTCACCTTCTGTCTGTATTTTATTTTTATTTTTCCAAGCCATTACTCCTTGCACTGGTCGAGAGCCTCCAGAACGAAAGGGTTGGGTCACTGTCCGGGGTGTCCCTGGTTGTAAGCTTTTTCGCGTCTATACTGATTCTCTCAAGAACTTCAAAGAGAAGTTTTTTAAGGTTTCAGCACATCCCGGCAAGGAGGTGTGGTTCCTCAACAACTGTGACTCTGAAGATGTGTAGGAAAAATTTCCCTTACATTGGTGATGTGATCATTACCGGTTTTCTTCTTCGAGTTGTTGTTTCAAAGAGTCTGAGTTGAACCTCACTGATGTCAATAGTATAATCTCCATGGGTGCATACATCCAGTCACGCACCCATGCTAGTGTTGTATCCCTTATCTATAAGTCCCAAGAAGAACTTGACGCTGAAATAAGTATATTTTGCTTTTATACTCATATGCACATTTGTTATATTGCATCTTATAATCAACTCTATTGCCTTTGATTTGCAGTTCCCAGCATGGAAAACCTACAGAATGAGCATCCCAGCTAGCTGGCCGCCTTGACCCAAGGAAAGAAGGATCCTGTTGACGATTTGACGAACAAGAATAGGAAAGCCTCAGAGCTTAAGACCAAGAAGCCTGCTGCTGACAAGGCAAAGGGCATCCCCGCTGATAAAGACCTTGCTGTTTCTGTCAGCAATAAGAGTAAGGGGGTCCCGGCTGATACTGGTGCCCCTGCCTCCTCTTAACAAGTGGTCAAGCTCCTCCCCCTCCTCCATCCGTCGGGCTGGCCAAGCATGATATATGGCAGTCCAGGATAAATAGTGTTCTCCAGGATGCTATTTACCCTCCCAAACCATTCTTCAACTCGTCTCATTTTACTGTTTCCTAAGTTAAGGAGCTGGAGGAGATGGAACTTTGCTGCATGAATATGGCCGGCTTGGCCAAGCTTCTGCTTTCCTTAAAGCACAAATACTTCGCACCCTTAATGAGGCAGTTGCATCCCGGGAGGAGAAGGAAAAAACACTTGTGGAGTTGATCAAGGTGAAGGAAGATTTGTCCTCCCTTAAAAAGGCACAGTACTTGGACTTAAAAAGGCATAATACTTAATGAAGGAAAAAATGCTATGCATGTTCTGCAACCTTCAACTGAGTTCATCTTTTGTTTGCCCATCTACTAGTCAAGTGCTTTTTCAAAAGTAGGTTCTGTACTTTTATTTTTTTTATTCTTTTATTTTTCCACCTCTTGGTTTATGTGGTCTAGATTCACCGTATTAGTTTTTGTTTTTTCATACTAACTCGCGTGGCGTCAAAAATGCTAACTATTTTTTCATTTTTCAATACAAATTTTGACTTTCAATCTTATTATCTTTCTTTTATTGGAATTGGCAGAGTATTTTTTTGTATAATTAATAATAATAATAATAATAAATTAAATTATTCTTTATAATTTGAAATTTTTAATTAAATGATGATTTGGATTAATGGTTATTGTATATATTTGAATTAATTATTATTGTATAATTTGGATTAATTATTATCATATATATGTATAAAATATAATTTTATATTCATGTTATTTTAATATTGTATATGTACAGATATGATCATACGATCCGTGTCGATTTTACGATTTACGATTTTTTTATCACCTCCCGATCTTATGTAAGATCTCGATCTTAATAACATTGCTTGTGACAATTATATATTTCATACTAGTTAGTCCCTTAGTGGTGTGCATGACAACCATTCTATTCCTTAGCACTGTTTCTGAAAAGAAACAATTCTTTTCTATTTCTATGTCTTGGAACAATTTTTGATAAAAAAAAATGTGTTTGATAACATGCTCAATTTTTATTCCGAGAATGAGAATTGTGTTTGATAACGTAACAAATAATATAATAAAAAATAATTCTTATTAAATATAAAAAAATTTCGGATCATCACCTTCCTTTCCATATGGTGTGGTTGTGGTGGTGGTGGCGGCGGAAGTGACATGGTGGTGGTGGCGGCAGCAGCGGTACGATAGTAATGGTGGAAGTGACGTGGTGATGATAGTGGTGGTGGTGGTGGTGGTTGTGACGGCAGTGGTTGTAGCAATGGCAGTGGTAATGGTGGCGGCGGCGGCGGTAATGGTGAGGATGGTGGTGGTGGAGGTGACAACAGATGCTGCGACAATGGTAGTGGGGATGGTGATTGGTGGCATTGGTGGCGCAACAATGGTAGCGGTGGCATGGTGGTGGTGGTCGCAGTGGCTGCGAAGGTGGCGGCAGAGGTGGTGGTGGTAGGTGAGAGTGGTGGTAATGGCGGGGGTGGTGTAATGGTTGCGATATGGTGGTGGTGATGGTGGCATAGTGGTAGTGATGGGTGAAGGTGGTAGTGGTGACGGTAGTGGCTGTGATGATGGTGGTGGTTGGCGGCGGTGGTGACGGTAGTGGTTGCAGCAATGATAGTGGTGGTTGGTGACAGTGGCAGCGATGGTAGCGGCAGCAGTGGCATATTGATGGCGATGGCAGTGGTTGCGATGATGGCGGCGGCGGTGGTGACGGTGACAGTGGTGGTGATGCTAACGGTGGCAGTGGCATGGTGATGGCGATGACGGTGGTGGTGACGACAGTGGTTGCGATGATTGCAGTAGTGGTGACGGTGATAGTGGTGGTGGTGGCGGCGGTGGAAGTTGTGGTGGTGATGATGGTGACATGGTGGTAGTGATGGGTGAAGGTGGTGGTGATGGTGGCGGTGGCATCATGGTGGTGGGGGGTGGTGGCGACGACACTAGTGGTACGGCGGCGGCGGCGACAATGGTGGCAGTGGTTGTGTCGGGATGATGGTGGTGGTGGTGGTGGTGATGGTAGAGGTGGATAGTGATTGAGAGAGATAAGTGTTTCTCATTTTGTGTCCAGGAACAAAAAATCAGAAATTTTATAATTCTTTTTTTGTTCCCTAGCACAAAAATTAAACCGGTTCATCCCAGGAACAAAAAAATAAACCGGTTTTACCAAACGAGTTTTCTATCCAATTCTGTTCTCGGGAACAGAAATTAAAAAAAAAAAAAAAATTGATTCCGGAAAGGTTGTGATTTTTTATCTTTAACTTAAGATTTTACCAAACCGGTTCATAAATTGATATTTTTTATCTTCTTAAAGTAAGATTTTGATATATTTATTCCTTTAAGTAACTTTTTATAATTGCATTGAATTCAATCTATTTAATTATTAGCAAGATTAGAAATTCTTGTAAAGTATGTCAAGTACTCAATATTTCATATAACTTTAACGCTATAACAGAGATTTGATTTTGATTCGGGATTTACAAAATACCAAGAGATCCCTTTGACTCGTTAACGTTTGGTAAGATGAAGATAATCAAGAGATTGAAGTCTTATTTATGAAATATATCAAATAATTATCATGAATTGATTTCACATAATTTTAAAACTATTAATACTGCAATCATGTTATTTGTTCTTACACGTGATCTTCATTACAATTACAAAACATGATTCTCTAGAGCAAATATATAACAAATAGATATTATCTCTCCTCACTTTCATGATTTCTTTCTTGCTTTTTTAGCTGAGTCCTTTCTCTCAACTTTCCTTATCTCACTCTCCAATTTATCCCCATAATTTTTATTTTGTTTATTTTATTCTTTCTTTCGCTATTAATTCTCACAATAGCAAAGAAATAATATTCTAGATTTTGTTTTCATATTTTGTTTTCGGCCAAAATATAGTTCATAATAATATTTTATTTGATAATTTAGGAAGACAATTTCGAAAAGGATCTTTTCCTAAATCCTAGTCTAGCAAAGTTATTTAATATAAAAGATTTTATTGAATGTATCCTAGCCAATCACAATTGGAAATAGAGAGATAAAGTAAGATTTCACAATATATAACTAGGGTTTTATAATTCTCATTTAGCATGAGATTTCAAATTTTCTTACACACCTTTCGATTTCCGTGCTAACATGAGTCTTATATATAATTTTTTCTAACACCTGAGTCCCCCATGCTTTTTATCTCTACAACATGAGAATTGAAATCTCATTTAACATGAGAAAATCAAACCCCGTATAACTAACTCATAAAACACGATATATTTTTGAAAATACATTACCAACGATCCTTTAATTTTCTTTAAATACAAATCTCACAGAACAGAAGCGATAGATAGACGAAAGTTCGGTCTCTTGTTCACAATGGCATCTCCACAACCCCATTCAACAGTGGCACGCTACAACACTCATGTGGGTAGAAGCGACCAGCGACATCAAGAACCAAGACTTGCTCGTTTTCATGTGAGTAGAAGCGACCAACAACATCGAGAACAGCAAATTGTCAAGCCCACGGTCTTCAGATTCGAAGTCACTTTTACCCTGCGATACGTCTCAACTGATTTACGTGTCAGAAATGTATCTACCTTATTCCAAACCACTGAATGCATAAGCTGCAAACACTTCTTCGGAAGTACTATTGAAGATATCCATACTGCAAAAAGAAAAATTCAATGTTTCCTACGAAGGTTACTTATACCACGCCCATGGTCCTTGCAGTACTTTACAAGGGAGTGCCTTGATGAAATCTCACAGAGGATCATACCTCAGGTTCAACAACTTTTTGATTCTGATCCTGGAATTATAAAACCACCCGGTTCAAAATACCAAGAGTTCCCTTTGTCTTTGGAAATCGTCATAGATGTGCCGTCAGATGAAGGGAATCAAGAGATGGAGCATGCAGTGATCGAAGACTCCCTCCAACATTTTAGAATGATTCCAGCATCCAAGAACGCCATCAATTCTCTAGAGAAATTCAAGGTTATGAAACAGAATGAGTACTGTACTATCTGCATGGAAAAGTTCGATGTAAGTGGTGATAGTGATGACGTGGCAGCCTCCGCAATGCCCTGCGACCACGTGTTTCACCAACAATGTATTGTGCAATGGCTGCAAACTAGTCATGTGTGCCCTTTGTGTCGCTACCCTATGCCCATCGCCAACGAGTACTGGCCAAACTAGATATATGAGTGTGATCATAGAAACACATGCACACTATTTAAAAGCGTATTACGTTTTAAGGTTGTAATTTTTTGTATTTAATTCTATTGAATGAGATATTCTGCAATGCTAGCTAGTTGAATCCCAGCAGCTAAATCTGATTGCATGTTAATTTTCTGCCAAGGCCTTGTATCAACGTTGCACCCAGCAATATTATCAATATTTCTTGCTATGCGCTCTGCAATATCTTATTTCAAAATTGTAACGCTAGAGGCTAAAAGTTTGAAAAACTGTTATAGTTTTTTAAATTATGAAGACTTTTTTTTTTTAAATTTCGTGATATTGAGAAATTTTCAAAATAATTTAACCTACACATTTTCAAAACATGTTCAAAATAATTTTCTACAATAGATAATTGGTATGTGCTGATTTATGTACTTGGTTATTATAGTTGAAGTGAACTCTAAATTCTTTGAGTATTTCACTCTGTTTGCGAACTAATCATAATCCTGTCTTGACATTCGTCGGGAAGCTAGTTTGGGATGAATGCAATTCGTGAAGATTACATGAGATACTCCCCCAATGCCGAAACATTAGAACTGAGCCAAGCAATTTATCATAATGTTAGCCGGGTCCACGGGAAAACCCGTGGCGGAGGGCCACTGCCAATGAGCTAATTAAGGTTACATCAACTATAACAAGTGGATCCGATATCATGTCTCAACCCAAAACCTTAAGACACTTATCACACTTGAATATCCCAACAATCTCCCCCTCAAGTGTGAAACTCACCATTGGTATGCTTCCCCTCAACCGAGTACCCCAGGGCCAAGTACTCAACCCGCCTCTTAGCCAACCCAATCCGGCTCTAATACCACTGTCAGACGGGTCTAGGGAAAAGCCCGTGGCGGGGGGCCACCACCAATGAGCTAAGGCTACACCAACCGTAGCAAGAGGATCCGACACCATATCTCAACCAAAAACCTTAAGGCATTGGGTTAATGGGCCTCTTCCACTTATATACTCTTCACTTAGCCCATTACTAACCAATGTGGAACTCATCACACTTGAATATCCCAACACATAATTCCTACAGGTTGAGACCAACAAGGCATTCTGTGGTTTTCTGTACCAAACTAAATTTTTATGCTCTTCTCATCGGTAGCCTTCTTTCATAAGTGACAGTCATTGCACTTTGATTTTTGCTTATTTTAATCTTCCTCATTTTGGACAAAGCTGTTCAATCTCCCCAACCCCTAGCGCACGGCCTTTCCCCCCTTTCGTTTGCTTTAAATTGAAAGAAAGTCTAATGCTAATGATCAAATTAAAAGTGTAAAGTCTAAAATACTATCCTTTAGCGGGGCCCGCGGGAAAATTGGAACTCAAAAAATCGTTGTGATATTGTACTTCTTTCACTTACCCTTTTGTCTATGTTGTCTTTTATTATTCTCTATCATTTGTTACATGTACATAATTGAATTCACTAATCAAATCAAGTTAATTTACAATTCATAATTGAGTTTATAGTCATAGACCACTTAGGGTTTTTTACATAAACAAAAAAAATCATTGTATATTTACCAAACTACATTTACAATGTTGTACAATAAGGTCGGAAGTAACCATGGCTCCCAAACAAAGAACAGGGAGCATGTTTCCCCAGTTGTCAAAACAAAGAGTTCCTCTTGCTGATTTACATGCACAAGAGGTTGTTCAGAGGCAGTTTCACAGAGCTAATTACCGTACTAGTAGTAGTATGCTAATGTTCGACCCCAATTTTCTCAACAATGTGCAGAAAGATCTGTGTCGAATATGCCAAGACCTTCTATCTAGGTACAATTACAAATCTACTTTTTTTCCCCTTATATTTGTTTAACTTATTAGATCCCCAAAATGCAGTTAAGATGATCAACTTTCAATGTGCTTTAACTTAAACAGGAACTTCGCTTATGCGGAAGAAAGACAGAAAGCTATATGGGCAATTTATGGTAAGAAATTACATAAGAAGAGATGAAAAAAACCACAAGTGGAAATCTGAATTAAAAGAATATATGATTAATGGTGTCTAGCATGATTGACAAGGGTTCTCCCTAATAGATACAAGTTTCCTTTCAGTTTAGTCATTTAATTCTTTGAGAAAAAAAGTCATTTAGTAAAAATCGTACATTGTGTTTTATCTTATTTTGCATACAGAAAGGGGTATTATTCTATAATTGTTTTATTTTTTATACACTTACTAGTGATTTATAGAATTATGGATGCCATAAGGATTTATAACTTAACTCATCACCTAGATGTCAGAGTTTATTTCAAAATTGTAACGCTAGAGGCTAAAAGTTTCAAAAATTGTTATAGTTTTTTAAATTATGAAGACTTTTTTAGAAATTTGCTGATATTGAGAAATTTTCAAAATTATTTAACCTACACATTTTCAAAACATGTGCATAAAATCAGACGTGATATTTTATGTATGACATCTATTTATAACCGAAAAAATTAATATTTGAATATATTATAAAAGCATCTCCTTTAATTATTTAATCTTATTTCAACAAAACTTATAAATTGAAGTTACAAAGTGAATGTACATACGAGCTAAGCCGTTACTTTTCATTTAATACATTCTTTCTTAAGTTTTATATGCTGCTAATTGCAGATCACTCATCTTGCCTTTTTCAGTTGACTGCGTGTGTTTATTTTTTTAAGGCATATTTTATGTTGATTAAATTTACTGTTTTTTATTGTCTCCACGGATGAGGCAACAGAACCCACTTCATAAATCATTGTTGCAGGTCTCGTCAAATGGAAATCGCTGATGGTGTCGTATATTTCTTCTCCTTTTTTGTTGTGTTTTGCTTTGTTTTTTGCTTTGACGATGGCAAGTATAGATTTTCAGCGACCGTGATTTGCTTGATTAAATATGGGTAAGGCAATTTGCATCTATTATGTCTTGGAGACAGATATGTCCAACCCAATGGACTGGTGTATTGATCTTGGATCTGGTGCCCTCTTCAATGTATTTATGAAAGAGATACCCTTGAATCAAGCAGATCACTGCTGCGCACAGTTAACAACTAACGGCTTTGCCAAAGAGGGGGTGTGTGCGCACAGTGACAGCATAACAGTAAGAGAGAGCGTAACGTACCTTTAGGGTTTACCTCTTATTTATAGGAGTTACCTGTGAGTAATACGATGTGGGCCTTTAGTACCTCTGATGAGGGCCTAGGCCTGTCCGCTATACTGTCGCATTAGAATTAGTATCCTTATGGATATCTATCTATAATTATATTTGATTTAGATCTTGGATTGCCCCTAGTTGGGCCTGTCTTTAAATGGGCCCCTTATACAGGTCCATAACAGTTGCCCCTCAGCCAGGTTACTTGGGTGTCCGGGTTGCCGGGGTGAACCTCGTTGTCCTTTGCTTTAGGCTTTCTGCCGAGTTGGGAGCGTGTGAGTTTTTGTAAACTCCTCTTTGTATGCATGCTCCTTATATTTTAGGATTTTTCAACCGAGGTCTTCCTTGCCCCCTATATCGACAGGTTGAGCATCAACCCGGGAAGATATTTCATGTATCTCCTGTATCGAGTTGGGGATGAGCTTGAGTGATTGGGATCCAATTGGCGAGTTGCCCCCAAGCATCATCCCTTATTCACATGTTCTGAGACTGTAGCTTTCTTTCTCGGACCGGGAATGATTTCTCTCAGCCCCTTATCTAGCCGGGTTAAGAATCAACCCGACAAGATACTACGCATTTGTAACCGGGTAACGAATGAGCTTGAGTAGTTGGGATCCAACTAGTGGGTTGCCCCCAAGCGCCATTTTCGTAACCCAGCCCAAAGTTGTTGTGTACACGCGTCTTGATTTTTACATTTCGCCTTATCACCAACAATCATATCATTCTGACACGTGCTGCTAGTCGCGTGTGTTAGCGTGCTGCAGCCATTTTCGCGTTTCATGCACATTTATTTGGAGTGTCATTTCAGGCATCTAATCATTGCTTTTTGAGGGAAATGACAGTGGTGCCCCTGACCTTTGTCATTCGTAACCGCAGAGGTTACCACTCATAATTGTAATGATGTTGGGGCCCCTGACTCTTGCCCTTCGTAACCGCAGCAGTTACCACTCATTATTATATAAACCCTCATTTTTCTCCTTGCCTTCGTTTCTATTTTGTGTGTTACGTAGAAATTTTACTTCTTCTTGCGCACCAGCATCTTTGAGCACACTTCTCGCAAAACCTCACAAGTTTATCCCTTTATTCAGGTACTTCACTTGCTTTGGCATTTTCCTTGCTTCTTCCTTGGGTTGTTTGCATTTAGCCATCTAATTTTAAGCATGTTTCTTTTTTGAACTTTCTGTTCTTCGCGTGTCATTCTGACAATTTGTTTGTTGATTGATTTTCTTCTTGTTGCATCAATTTCCTGTCTTTCTAGAGTGTTGCACATTATTTCACTCCTGACATTCTACTGTGCATCATCCTCTCTTTGTCATTCTTCCTTTGTTGTTTTAAAACTTCATGTAGCCTTTGAAAGAATCTCTGCCAAATCTTGCCTAATATTCTTAAGGGGCTATCTTGGGAAATTGGAGATGGCAAAAATTTAACTTCTGGATGGACAATTGGATCAGTAGCATTCCTAAACTTCTGAATGTTGCTACTCAGCCTCCTCATCCCTTTCTGCTGAATGATATGGTGGTGGACTGCATTAGTAAAGATTCGAGGAACTAGAACTGTAACCTGCTGTCTAGTTTCTATGACCAATCAATGATGAACAGAATCATTGCAATCCCTCCTCCTTCAACTGTAGCTGGTAGGGATGCCTCGCTTGGTTGGATAAAAATCCCTCATCTTCGTTAGTCAAGCATGCTTATTCTAGAATCATGGAGGCAATAGTAAGAAGAGTCTTCACAGTAACTAATTTTGCTACTAGACTAAAGGTTTCAAAAAATCTATTTCTTCTTGTTGAGTGTAGCCTTTAGCTACTAAACGAGCCTTGTGCTTCTCTAGTGAGCCATTAGCTTTC